GGTATGCAAAATGATTTTCCATGGCAAACTTGCTAAGAGTTTCTCGGTCATCAAGAGAAAGAACCTCGTGCTCTACCCCAGCTAAAGCATTCTCCTAATACTTTGTTCATTGGTAGATTCAAGAGCACTAGAGGGCGTTGTGAGTCTCACATATTCATTTACCCTAGAATAGTACAATGTGAGTATTTTTAATATCATACAGGAATATAGAAATTCAAGTGAAATGGGCATATTTACATATATATATATTTCTACCGTGTGATAGGATGGACTGTGGAACTTCCACTCCTATGCTTAATGCGAACACATGTATAGATGACTATAACATTTCAGTTGTCATGTGCACTCAACAATCTCTCCATATCATTGTCAATAAAATAGGGTTATAGGGAATATCCAAATTCCTTGGATGAAATACCTCAGTGAAACAATGTGCATGTCAATTGAGAATCAATTCCACTATATGCTTCCTCATCTCATCTAACTTTGTGCTACAATTAGCAAGAAAATTACATGCCTCACCGCTGAGATTGTCTATCGTCATCAACATGTGTGGAATCCACCACCATATCTACAATAAATCAAATGGTTATTTCCCATGCTTTTTGTGTCCTACATATAATTGGAAAAGAAAAGGAAAAACTAATAAAATTGCAATGGACACTAACATTACCAGTGAAAAAGTGTGTCATGTAAACTTGGTTTTTGACATTAACTCGGTCCATATTTAAGTGCTTAAGCTACTCTGATATTTGATTTTAAACAGTGCTTGCTGTTCTCAAATAAAAACAATGCTCAATTCATTTGAATCACAATACATGTATCGAGCACCAGAACTTTGGTTCATACATAAATTTCTTGTTCTTGAATGAAAATAAGCATCATATCAAGTTCAGATCCTAATATGGTATGGACATTCAATATTTTCCATTCGTATATTCATCAGGGTTCATCAAAGAATAATGAACAAGAAAATCTCTGGTTAGCAACAAGTGGCTACCCATAATTCATAGGAATAACATGAAACACAACCATCTGCGAGTCAGCCAAGAAATTAAGATGCTTTTAAGTAAAGACTGAGCAAGAAAGTACCAGGCAATTCTACAATATTTCTACAAGGGCTCAACGGGGTAATCCTTTTCGTATAAGGATGCCTACACATGAGAACATTGAAGTATGCATGAGCTTAGGAATGCAACCCAAGTTTAAAGGATGAAGAACATGTCTTGACGTTAATATATTGGAAACATGGACACGAACAATAAAATTCCGGATTATGAGAGCACAAAAACTAGCATGCATAAAACCACCCATAAAAACCAAACAAGAAATTGAGATTCAGTTTATGAGAACATGAACATAGCAAGCATAAATCAAAATTAAATTGAAAAAATACCTTTGATGGTGGATGGAGAGGTCTCAACTTTTGAAATCCCTAATTTCCTGATGATGGCTGCGATGGGTTTGAAATCCCGAATTTTTTGATGATGGCTGTGTGGGGGAAGAAGAATGGCTCGAGCTTGCAGAGGGAGCTCTTCGTGAGGGTAGTTTTAGAGAGAAAAAGAAAGGAGAGAGAGAGAGAGAGTGTTAAGAGTAGAGGGAGTTTTAGGGAGAGAAAATGGAAAGCGAGGGGGGGAGAGAAATGTAGTTAACAGAGACAGAGTCAAGTGACAGGAGGTTTTGATTTGTGGGTGGAAGATTTTCAAATCAAAATTTCAATTCCATTTAATAAGGGCATTGTTGTTCTAAAGTATACTGAAAAGTGGTCTGAGGAGTAAGTGAGGCAAAAATAAGTTTTTTGGGGTAATGAGCGTAGGGGACTTCTCAACGGGGGGGTATTTTGGGGAGACTGTTATAACTGGCAGGTATTCCATAATTTTCCGATGATTATATCAAAATTCAACCAAACAGCAGATAGCAGTTATCTCATGCAATATTATACAAAATATATTAATTCTAGATAAATTGAGATGCTCAAGATAGATTTACTTATCAATCAAACAAGGCCTTTAGTGTTTTCTTTTGCTAATCCTGAAGATATTGGCAAGTTATGGCTGTTTCTGAGATTTTTCAATGCTGGTTTCTGGTTTGAGGGTAAACATGTCTAGAACCAAACTCCTGGCTCATAGGATGGGATGTGGTACAGACCAAAGTCCAGGCAAATACTTGGGCCTCCCATTCTGTGTCCACAAGTCCAAAAGAGTCACAGTGTAATAGTATTTAGAGATGATTTAGAGAAGGCTAGCAGCTTTAAATGTAGATTTCTCTCCTTTGGGGGACGCATTACCCATCAACACTCTTGCTTGTAACATCTTCTAAATGTCTCAGTTTCATATGCTATGCAAATTGTCTGGAAGTTAAAAGGTTCATTTAAAAATTTCCTAAGGAGTGATGCTGGAGACACCCAGAATTACCATCTTGAAAACTGGGACAAAGTTTTCCTACCTAAACAGGAGGAAGTCCTGGGTGTGAGGAGACTCGATACTGCCCTTGGCAAGTAGTGGTGGCGCTATATCATCCACCAGGACTGTCTGTGGCAATCACTTATCAAACAGGGCTATGGTACTGCTCCTTCAGGATGGTTGCCCTGATCTTTCCCCAGCGCTAGATAATATTGGGGATGGAAGGCGAAAGATAATGTTAAACAGATTTTTTACAGCCACATTCGTTTTGCTGCCAAAAACAGTGACCATATTAGGTTTTGGAGGGACATATTTGGTGTGTATCAAAATTCTTGAAATGATCTTCCTAAGACTCTATGATTGCCTTAGACCAGATGCCACCATTCCCAACCTATTTGAAATATTTAGTGGCTGCATAATGCCATCATGTGGTATCCTTTTTACTGTAAATCCTGAACAAAGCAGAGGAGATTGAGCTTCTCGAATTGCTGGAGATCTAAATGCATGTTTCATACCATGCTGAGGAGTGGACAAGAAAGTCTGGAGTCTTAAAACTGCAGACTACTGCCCTTTGTCTCCTTTTTACAAGGCCCTCACCCCTCAAACAAGCCCCATGGCTAGGAAAGTGTGCTCTATGCTGGCGCGAGTGTCCAATCTTTCAGTTGGTTGGTGGTCCTCAATAAAGTCCTAACCTGAGATCACATCGAAAGTAGAGGTGTTCCTCTGCTCAATTGTTGTTTATTGTGCAGAGAAGAGGAGGAATCTATTGGTCGCTCGTTCATCTATGGAATGGTTGCTTCACAAGTCCTTTCATTCTTCCCCAAGTCACTCGCTCTGTTCTAGGCGACCAATCCTCCACAGAAAGCCGTGTTGAAAGCTACGTTTCCATTAAAAGGGTCTGTTCCTCCTGCATTTAGTAGTGCTTGCCATACTTTGGGTACTTTGGCTAGAACGTAATCGACAAACCTTTCAAGGCATTGAGGTCAGGATGCTCATGCGCATTGATCGCGTCAAGTCAACAATCATCTCATGGGCCTTTCTCACGAGTTCTATGACTACTCTGATCTCTTTAGCCATTGGACCCATATTATTTGGGACACTCCAAAGGCATAACGAGATCTTCTCTTTTGGATCCAACCTACCCAAGTCATGATTAAACTAAACTTTGATGAATTCTTAATAGGCAACCCAGGCCCATGAAGTGTGGACAAACATATTTAGAAACCACCTTAGTAAAATCCTTTTAACCTATTCTGGTCATGTGGGTTTGATACTCTCCACAATGGCTGAAACCTATGCTGGTCACGTGGTCCAGTTACATTGATAAATTGAAGGATGCGATGAAAGTTTACATGCGTGATAATTGCTTTTAGTTCTCTTCTAGTCATTTTTCATGGGGGTGCTGCCAAACGTCTTTCTCACCTAATCACATTTAATTTGTTACCCTCTTAAGTGGCTCTGACAAGTGCTGAAGAGACACTCAGCTCACATTATAGCCTTTGTGTTTACTCTCTCTGTTTTTCCAATAATGCTTTTATGCTTATGTGAATTGAGTGGGAAATTCCTAGTGGCCCTGGGACTCTCTATCCTTAGGGGAACCCTCTACTCCAAGAGTTCCAGGGGAAGGACTTCTCGTTGCCTATGCTGTCCAGTTGAGATTTAGGTTGAATGGTTGAAGATGAGACCCATTATTGAGTGTAGCCATCCAACCAAGTCAAGCTTCTAGGAGGGGCCGAGACATCACAATTTATGTTTACAACTTTATAGCACCCTCCTACTCGGGAACAACTTTTACCCAGTCGTGCTTCTAGGAGGGGCCGAGAAACCACAATTTATGTTTACAAGTTTATAGCACCCTCCTACTAGGGAACAACTTTTCTTAGAATGTCCCTTAACACATAGTTCCTAATCAAACCCTACACCCTCAATTTGCAAGGGTAGGTCTACTTTTCTCTGACACACTATACATTGGGATCCTTTTTGTTTTCAACTTCTAATAATCTTGGTCTACATTTTCCAAAGTTGACTACATGTTGAATGCTTTTGTTTTCTGTGACAAAGATCATCTTGGTCTGGCTCATTGGAAGCCAATGAAATCTAACAAATTGGGGAGGTGGATTTATATGCCAAACCTCAAGTTCAAGTGCGCAGAGTGCTTTTGGACTTCCACTGTAATATTGTTCAGTTAGAAATTAAATTGGATGTACTTGCTTGTCTTTATCAATGAATGATGCACTGACTGCCTCCAAATAGCTGGGATGAGGCTCAGATGATGATGATGTACTATAGCCATCTCCATGCCTTTCTCTTGTTCATCTTTAGTTAGTCTTTGTGTTATGAGCTTTAATGGTATGGCCTGGTTCACTTGCGATCAAGGCCTTACCTGGCTGAGTTTATGTTCGCTGCCTTTATTTGTATGAAAAAAGGTGAAAATAAGAAAGTAGAACATACTATGATATTGTGATTTCTGTTATCTGCTGATCAGGGGCTGAAATATGCTATTTTTTTAAACCTATTAAAGAAAATAACTGCATGCTAACTTTTTAAAATGTTTACGATAATTGCTTCTGTTGTGCTGATTTGCTCCTTTTTCTGCAGAAATGTGAGGAACTCATAATGAGTTGCCAAACCCCCATATCGCAGAGATCATGACGCATCTGTGCTAGTATATGTCATCATGGTACATGTCTCTCTCTCTCTCTCTCTCTCT